TAAGCCTATATCAAGCGTATTTGGGCCCTATCTTAGTTATTGCCTTAATACACATAAAGTGCTGATAGGAAGTCTCTCTTGATATATTTGATATTGACCTTGTATTTCTGGTATCCTGTCCCGGATTGTTTATTTGTGTACCCACATTTCTATAATCTAGACGTTGGCTATTACTTACTTACTTTGTCTTTATCTTTATTAATGTTAAGCCCGGCTATTCTAAGGCCTGGTAATATACATATTTTGTACCTCTATTTGTTGGATTCTCAATTTCCTGTAAGTTAAGGTAACGACCTCATGACAGTTTCCAACATCTTCAGTCAAACAGACAAATCTGTTGGATTGCACAAAGTCAGAACTAACTAAACCTTTCCTCTTTCCTCCCCATTGCTACCTTATAAAACTGCTACCTAGCCATTTGCCTGATCTCCAGCTATCTTATCTCTTCCCACTACATAACAGACCTCCACTAAACTCAAAATTGTCAATCTGTCTGAATGTTGCAATTTGCTTCTCCATATCTCCAATACGAGCTTCCAGAGAAGCTACCTGCTTACACCTGCCACAGAGGTATGGACCCTGGATGGATTCATGTAGAAAAATGTCCACTGAGCTAAACCTTCAATCTTGCTGGCACCCACTTCCAGGGCCGGTGCAAGGATCTTTGCCGCCCTAGGCAAAACAAAAATGTGCTGCCTTCCGCCCACCCCCCATGTGACATCACAATGCCCCACCCATATGATCTGCCATATGAACTAACGCCAGTGCTGCACACAGTGTGTGTTTACATTAAAAAGCCTGCAGGGACAGGCTATAGACACCAGAACAACTTCATTAAGCTGCAGTGGTTCAGGGGGCTATAGTGTCCCTTTAATGTGAGGTAAATTAGAGATTACTGTCACTAATAATATACTAGATTGCATACTTACAACCAGATGAGGATGATGATGGGCTCTGGCTGCAGTTTGGCTCCTCTGGTCTGGTGTAGAACAGGATCTCTGGAGGCTGTTTGTAACTGTGGTCACAAAATTCAATGTTCTAGGAGAACAGGAAGCAGCTCAATTTTTTGGGGCACCTTACACAGCTCAAGGTCAGTGCCCCAGGGCCTGACGGTGAGTATGCCCATAAGACCCACCCATAAGTCCACCTATATGTTCCACTGATGAGTTCGCTCACAGGGAGTGGTGTGTGTAGGGAATGTGTTATGTGTTATTGTAGAGGATCTATAATGTGTGTGCTTATGGAATGTAGTGTATAGGGATACCAGTTTGTGTGTGTTTATGTGTAGTGGAAGCAGTGTGTTTTTGTATAAGGGATAGAAATCAGTGTGTGTTGTGTATAAGGGATATATTGTGTGTTTCTGGTTGTGTGTACGGGATGCATTATACGAATCTGTGTTTGTATGCATAAGGGATGCAAGGTTTGTTTCTGTGTATGTAAGGGATGCAGTGTGTGTGTGTTTAAGGGGTGCATTGAGTGTGTCTAAGAGATGCATTGTGTTTCTGTGTGTATGTAAGAGAAGCAGTGTGTGTTTGCATGTGTGTGTAGAGATGCATTGTGTGTTTCTGTGCATGTATAGGGATCCCCTGCCCCTTAGTGGTCTCTCCTCCCCCCAGCTCCCCTAGCGGTCTCTTCTCATCCTCCCCCCCTCCACTGTGTTCTCCACACCTCCTCTTCTCCTCACCCCCCTCCCTGTGTTCTTCTCACCCCCTCCCTGTGTTCTCCTTACTCCACCCCCTGTGTTCTCCTTACTCCCCCCTCTCCCTGTGTTCTCCTTACTCCCCTCTTTGTTCTCCTTACTCCCCCCCATTTGTTCTCCTTACTCACCCCCCCATTTGTTCTTCTCCCCTCCCCTTCCCTGTAGCGTGGCCGAGCTCCACTCCGGTCTGCGGTACAGGAGCTTCTGTTTCTGTGTGCACTTCCTGTCAGTCCTGCCGGGTACATGAAACAGATGTTCCTGTACCGCGGACCAGAGAGGAGCTTGGCCACGCTACAGGGAAGGGAAGGAGAGAGACAGTGCTGCACCCGCCTGAGGCTCTCTATAGAGTGCTCAGGCAGCAGCAGCATTACGGTTGGCAATGAGGGCAGAGGGCACCCCCTCCTATATGACGCCCTAGGCCTCTGCCTAGTTTGCCTTATAGGAAGCGCCGGCCCTGCCCACTTCCATATTTAGAAGACAAAAACCCAAAACACACAAGAATAAATTTGTACATAAAGTTTTTATTTGTAAAGTGGTACAGAGAAAGTGCAGACAACTGTGATGCCGAAACATTGGGGTTTTATTGTCTTCTGCTCTCTGGTCAGTATGCCTGTTTTATTATGGGTTTTTGGTTTGCTATTTTGAGCACTTACTACTGCATGTATAGTGGTTATTGTCATGTTATTTGATGTTTACATGCCTGTACTGTTATCTGCATTTTCTCTGTATTAGCTATGCTTATCCACTTTACAAATAAAAACTTTTTTTAAGTGCAAATTTATTCTGGTGTGCTTTGTTTTTTTTTTGTCTACTAGGTTTATGGATCTGATGGGGGTTCAGATATTTCCTTAAAGCACCTGGCAACCCCTTACTGTACTATTACCCATATTTACAGTTTGAGCGCTTACTATCATATTCTATGCACCCATTTCCATATTTACAACATGTACAGAACAGCAAAACAATATTTACTTTGTTGTTTTAACCCCTTAAGGACCAAACTTCTGGAATAAAAGGAAATCATGACGTGTCACACATGTCATGTGTCCTTAAGGGGTTAACTCCTGTTTTTGAACTCCTGCTTAAAAATAGCCAACTTAAAAGCATGGCCGGTGCTTCCATAAGGCGGTACAGGCGGCTGGCTTAGGGTGCACCGGCTCTGGGTGGGTGCGCAAGATTTAAGTGCCCGTCTGGAAGGAAGTGCACAGCGCTCCCTCCTACCAGTGACTCGGTGTAGCATGGCTGAGAAGAGTGGACCACAGTACAGGAGCTTCTGTTTCCTGTACCATGACAGAAAGTGATCACTGAGAGAGCACTTCCTGTCACCCCGGGTACAGAAAACAGAAGCTCCTGTACCACAGTCTGCTCTGCTAGGCCACGCTACACAGGGTGGTAGGAGGCACAGAGGGGAGAGGAGAACACCACTACGGGACATGTAGGGGAGGGGAGTGGACCACTAAGGAACAGGGAGGGGAGCGGAACACCAAGGGACAGGGAGGTGAGAGAAACACTAAGGGACATGGAGAGGAGGGGAGAAGAACACTAAGGGACAGGGAGAGGAGGGAAGAGGAACACTAATGGATAGGGAAGGAAGGGTAGAGGACCACTAAGGGACAGGTGGGGGGAGGAGACTACTAAGGGACAGACGAGAGGAGACCACTAAGGAACAAGGAGATTGATTTATTGTGTTGAGGTTTTATGTCATTGACTAGTATTTTTTAAAAATCAAATCAACAACATTTGATTATTTAGTTTTCTGATAGTGATTTATTTTTTTAAAATTATATGTGAGCCGTTTATAGTGTACTATTACTCCCCCTTATGTTTAATATTTTGTTTACTTATCCTATACATTTAACAAAATATAGAAAATTTTAATTAAATTGCACATTGCTGCATTTTCCTCTATCCTGGAACTAAGTGCTATGTTACAAAGGCATAATAGAGCTCTGGGAATCCACAAGTCCATCCCAAAGCTAAGGAAATGCCTGAGATACAGGATGCAGAAAAGGAAGACGGTTTCACCGGTGAATGTGGCTCACATTATGAAATCCATGACAAGGGCCTGGATCCTGTGGGACCTTCAGATGCAAGCAAGTACTGGCCAACCAACCTGACATCATGGTAGACAAGGAACGGAAGACTGCAGTAGTGGTGGATGTGGCAATACCCAGTGACTATCAGGAAGATTGACAAATACCAATGATTGAAAGAAGAGCTAGAAAGGATGTGGTAAGTGAAGGCAGTAGTAGTCCCAGTTGTGATAGGAGCACTCGGACTGTGACTCTCAAGTTGGGAGAGTGGCTTCAACAGATTCCAGGTGGGACATCTGAGATCGCTGTCCAGAAGAGTGCAGTTCTAGGAACAGCTATGATACAGTGCAGAAACATCAAACTCCCAGGTCTCTGGTAGAGGACCCGAGAATGAGAAATAAAATAATGTGTAAAAAACAGATAAAATTTGTATCTTGTAATACCTTTTTAATTGGACTAACATAATTTGTTAATGACAAGCTTTCGGGAGAACCTCCCTTTCTCAAGTCTGAAGCATTTATGAGCAGGACGACATATAGAATTCAAAGCTGAGTTGTTATACAGGGGTTAAAGCGACATGAGTGCAGTTAAGACACAGGTTTGTTGGAAAATAGACACCATTCTTGCAGAGGGTCATAAATTTCTTTCTGAAGAGCAGAGTGAGGGGGGAGAGGGAGAAAAAAAACAAGCAGACAGTGCAGAGGATGGTACACTTTATACATGCACACACACATAAATATGTATATGCGAATGCATAAACACATGAACACATATACATACATGTAAATGAACTCATATACACAAATATAAATGCACAGTCATATATATAAGCATACATGGGGAAACAGGTCTACACATAGTACTTTGTATATTGATAGAATAAACATATTGGAATGCGTTTTAAAGTGTTGATACATATGACAGAACAGTAAGATAGGACATAATCAGATAGAGATAGGACAGGAACAAAAAGACTGAGGATGGGAGAAGTAGGAGGGGGTATATACCGTTCTTTTTAATAGGTTAATAGGTTCCTATCTAATTAGGGATGGGGAGGAGCAACCCATTGTTGTGCTGCCATGGATATGGCCATATATAGATATCTACATATATACCCCTATATATATATTATATTATATATAGTGATGTCCCGAACGGTTCGCCGAACGGTTTGCTGAACGGTTCATCACGGACGGCGAACATATGCGCTGTTCAGTCCGCCCCCTATGTCATCATTGAGTAAACTTTGACCCTGTACCTCACAGTCAGCAGACACATTCCAGCCAATCAGCAGCAAACCCTCCCTCCCAGACCCTCCCACCTCCTGGACAGCTCACTAAGAATGTAATGAATGTAAAATGGATGCTGTCCAGGAAGTGGGAGGGCCTGGGAGGGAGGGTCTGCTGCTGATTGGCTGGAATGTGTCTGCTGACTGTGAGGTACAGGGTCAAAGTTTACTCAATGATGACATAGGGGGCGGACCGAACAGTGTATATGTTCGCCATCCGTGGCAAACCGTTCGGCGAACCGTTCGGGACATCACTAATTATATATATTACATTTTAGTAAAATAAATCCTTGCATGAAAACAAGGTTAACATATGGTAAAAGTGACTAATTTGTACAGAGTATACAAAGTATCTAAAGTGAGCAACAGTTCAGTTAATGCAAAAATGTATTGATACAATAATGTCACAGAGACCATATGCAAGAGAATGCACAGTTTATAATAAAAGTTTTAATATCACCTAAAAAAAAACATGTTCCCTGAAGAAGTGAGAACTTCTCACAAAACGTGTAGGAGCTAACCATTACCGATCTCTCTTTTGCTGTCTAACACCTTGGAGCTTCCGTCCACCTTCACTCCATAACAGCGAGCCCGGCGGGAAGAACAGGAGGATATACCTACATTGCAACCCGGAGCTGATACAGAGACATGCTGTACCAACGGTTTCCCTTGGGAGATTATTATTTAAAACCTGGACTTACCACTCCTACTACTACAAACCATCAACCCGCAATATTGTATCTCCAAGTAGGTCAGAAAAATAATTTGAACAATACTAATATCACCATAGAGCATACCAGCCACAGGGACATATATTAGAAATCATATTGGTATTTTAAGGTGATATTAAAACTTGTATTATATGCTGTGCATTCTCTTGCATATTGTCTCTATGACATTTTATTGTATCATTACATTTTGTATTAACTGTGTGCTTTTTAGATACACTGTATACACAGTTTCTCCCAGAATAGTTGAAGGACCTTCACTTGATTACAGCTGCAACAGATAGCTTGTGTACAAGAATACACGTTTATTGTTTACCATATTAATCTTATTTTATTTTTCACCTTTTAGTCCAATCTTTATAAATATATAATAAGCTTTATTGTTCCATTTTTTCTTTTCTTTTTTTGCTACACCGGCAGCAAGGTCTAGATAAAGCAGTCTTGCTTACAACCGATTTGTAAATTTTTACAGAAGTGATCATTTCCATTAAAAAGAAATAAAATGGGAGTGCTGTTACATCTTCCAGTTTTATACAAAAATCAACAACGCTTAATCGGTTTGAGAACTGGTGCAGCTATCTAACTCAGTTCCTCCATTTACACTATTAAAAACCTCTTCCTGAAAAGTCCTTACACAGTCTTTACCTGGCCTGGGAACTCATCATGCAAGACTAATTTGTTAATTGAGTAATCCATTAGTGCCTGTCAATAATGCACATATTGTAGCACCTTTGCATTGTTTTACTTGTCAATATAATATGTATCACTTTTGTCTTTTATAACCCACAATGCTAAGTGAAAACATATAAGCCTTTGGGAAGCTCAACACAACTGGGGAGCTAGATCTGTGCAGAAGGACAATACGGATTAAAATTATTTTATAACATGTACGAAATATGAAGAAAAAAATATATACTTTTTTTTTTCCTTCATAAAGAAATCCGGATCTGCCTCTGGTTTTAAGGTACTTTAAAAAAAAAATACATTCCCCAGAAGTACAAATCTCCTCTTCAATCTCAGTAGGATAGCCCCATCTTTTAGTAAGCAATGATTTAACTGAAAACTAGTAATTTACATAATTATTTATAATAATGATTTTAAATAACTACAGCCCATTCACATATCTAAGCTATGAGAGATGTGATTGTTATTAAAGGGACACTCTAAGAACCAGATCCACTACAGCTTAATGTAGTATTTCTGGTTCTATGAGAAGATGCGGATTGGCACAGCACAGTGAATTCTACACTGTGCAATAGCCCCGCAAAACTTTCCATAGGTGGTGCATTGGATTGGTTAAGATCACCATCACTGATTATCTCATTCCAAGAGGAACAGTGGCTTATTTATTTAACTAATGGTTTTTATTTTTGGAATAATATTGAAATATACAATCCCTTTATATAAGTACAAGTTGTTTTTCACCAACGTTCATGAGATTTAACACACCCCTATTTTTTTTCTTTTATAAAAGTGTTGATTTCAAGAAGAATCTGCACTTTAACCGCACCTGGTAACACATTCCAGCTATAACACTTGAGTGCTTGCTTAAGGAGGAATTGAAAACTTGTCAAAGAGAAGCATTGTTTTTTTAGTTTTTTTTTAATTCTTTATTTTTGGTCGTGCAGAAGTATACAAGGTAACCCGCAATGCCACAACAGCAATTGCCGGCATATGTCAAAAACACAACCGAATAGTGAAACATGACAACAGTTGTAGTGAGAAATAGCGTTACGTTTCTACTCGAGTAAACAGCACGGTATTTGTAATAAAGGTTTGGTAGCTAAACTACGCAATTTCAATTGTAGAAATAAAAAAGAAAAAAAAAAAGAAGAAAAGAAAAAAGAAAAAGGAAGTAGTCAGCAGAGAGACAAATTGACATAAGATAAGAGTTTGGTTACCCTAACTGACTATACGAGGTAATACAATAGAGGTCAAGTTACATGCTATGCAAGAAGCGGTTCGATCAGTGGCAATAATAGATTTGGAGTTACACGTTGGGCAAACAAGTGAGAGATCATTTTAATTTTAATGGTCCCGCTTCCTACCGAGGTGTGGAGCCCTGTTTGGGCTAAGTAGTAGGCCCAAGATTAATACAGGGTGGGGGCCCGTGAGTATGACAACTGTGGTGTAGGATAGTTTTATAACAGAGGATCCTTAAGGATCGAGTGACTTGGTATGGTGTCTCAAGCTTTTTAGTGAGGCAGCTCCGCCAACTGTTTATGTGTGGGTCAAGAAGATTGGAGCTGGGAGGGGAGGGTAGGATGGACGTAATTAGGGGAGATAGTTGGGTCTCATTTCGCCCAGTGTCGACCAGTACGGTCGTTCAGCCATATGCAGTATGGGGAGGGGAGTGATTCCTAAGTGTAGCACAACGTTTTAACCAAAACTAAGACATGAAAATAAAATGCCGGTAACTTATTAGAAAAAGAGAGGGTACAAGTCCCAACACAGATGATTCCGTTTTCAGATGGCAGGGGTTCCAGGTGGGGTTAGTGGGTCGAGGGTTAGGGCTCGGTTTCAGGGAGGACAGGATAGCGTCCATTTCAGATGCCTCCGTGACTCTGTGTTCCACACCATTATGTTGGAAAGTCAGCGGACGAGGTGTGCCCCATTGATACTTTATGCCTTGGGATGTAAGCGTGGATGCCAGTGGTCTCAGCGACCTCCTCCACTGCAACGTCGAGCGGGAGAGGTCAGCAAAGAACGTGAGGTCCATTTCTTCAAAGTGATATGGGGTCTTCCCTCTGGTAGCTTGTAAGATGGCTGCTTTGACTTGCCCATTTTGAAACTTAACCAGGAGGTCCCCGGTGGTTGGGGCTGTGTTGGACTGAGGCTTGGGTAGACGAAACATTCCATCCAGCTGAATGCCCTTTGCTGTTTTAGGGGGTAGTAATGCCATGAACAGCCTATGTAGGAAGTGTGGCATCTCTGCCATAGTAATGGAGTCCGATAGGCCTCTAATCTTCAGGTGTTTCCACCTCCTCTTATCTTCTAGAATTGCTAGCTGGCTGTCAAAGTTAGCCTGCGCCGTGGTGAGGTCCCTCACCTGCTTCTGCAGGTCTGCGATTTGAGGAGTGTGCTCCTCCACTGCTTGTTCCACCGTGGTTAAACGGGCTGTGAATCCCCTGACATCCTCCCATACTTGGGAGATATCTGCAGAAAGACTTTGTCGGAGGTCAGCCAAAAGTTTAGTAAGGATGGTTGTGGTTAGTGGGATTGAGCTGCTGTCCACCTCCGGAGATGGCCTGGGGGGTCCCTGGAAGCCAAGGGCTGCTGGGTTGTGCGGGGTGTACTCTTCTGAGACGTCGGAGAAATCATCCAGTACGTCCGCCATTTCCAGCCCGCTTGCACAGTGCGGCCTTCTAAAGAGTTCACTGATGTCAGCCATGTTCCCGGGCCGGTCCGACCTCGGTTTTTTATTCTTCCACCCCATCTGCTTACCGACACAGTCAGCTATGTCCAGGGCAAATTGGGCTCCAGAAAGGTACCTTTTTCAGGTTTTGATAAGCTTTTCCGACGGAGCTCCGCGGACATTCGACCGCTCCGATCGTGAGTTAGCTCCGCCCCCCGAGAAGCATTGGTTTTAATGCTGCTCAATGAGAAGCATTAAAATAAATGTAATTGGACATAATCGGGGTGCTCCAGAAAGGGAGGGCCATTCCCTGAAGACATCAAATGGTAGAAAAGCAATATCCAGGCACACCTGAGACTTCTTTTAAAAGGCTTTTGAAATATGGAAGTGGAGACAGTATTTTGGATGCTCTCTGAACCTTTATCAAGTCTTAACTTGTTAAAGGCTCAGAGAGGAACTGAAACGTTGTCTCCACTTCCTTGTTTCAAATTAAAAAAAAGACTTCAGTGAGATTATCACTAGTGATAATCATGCAGCAGCATTGCAGAGCTGTAGTAAAAAGACCCTCTTATCACTGGACTACAGGTAAGCAACCTCTTTTTTAGGGGAGCGGGGGGATTGTCTAAACATTGTACAAAAATCCCCCAGGTAGACTGATCGTGTCTGGTATTGGTTCTATCCTTTCCCCATTGTCACAATATATCGATTCATTTTTACAACCCTTGGTTAGAACTTGTCAATCACACCTTTGTGATTCTATGAGTCTCCTTAACTTATTGAATGATTTTAAGTGGGAAGAACATTTTTTTCTGGTAACTTGCGAAGTGACTAGTCTGTACACAAGTATAGAACATGCCAAGGGTTGTGACGCAGTAGAGTATTATCTAAGGAAGTCTCAGAATTTTTTAGATGATCAAATTAATTTTATTATTAAAGGCATTGAGATGATCCTTACTAATAATTATTTTTGTTTTGAGGGAGATTTTTACTTACAGACCAGTGGTACAGCTATGGGGACCAAAGTCACTCCCAGCTTTGCCAATTTATTTATGTCCTA